CCCGCATCTGTTGACATTTGACTGTGACTGTGTCCACCTGAAACGCTTTAAAGCGCTTTTCAGCACTTTTGGACCTAAGATTCAAGATTCAAGATTCCCAGGACTCTAGATCTTGCATCTTGAATCCATCATGGGATCCCCAAAACGCTTTAAAGCGCTTTATTTGGGATCTAAGGCTCAAGATTCAAGATTCCCACAACTCTACATCTTGAATCTTGAATCCAGTAGGGCACCCAGCGAAAACGCTTTAGCACTTTGGGATCTAAGACAAGATTCAAGATTCCCAGGACTCTAATGGTTGAATCTTGAATCCGTGATAAAGAGCTCTTCAAAGCGCTTTAAACCGTTTTGGGGCCCCATGCTGTCCAATTAACTAGATTGAGGTATGACTAGACTATGTGTGAAATGATTGGAAACAGGCCAAGGGGAGAATAATGAAACGGGCCCGTCCGCATATGAGTCTCGGGCTCCCTTGCTGAGTGTATCCGAAGAACAGTATAGCCTCCACCAGCAGAAGCTCAGTGCCAGCACCAAACCCTCTTATGTTGAAGAAGTTCCACATGTTGGGCAAAGTTCCTGTGAAGCTTCTCCGAACACTACGGATTGCTGCAAGTTGGCTGCTTTTCTTTCTTCGGGTCTTTGGGTTGTCCCGCTCCTTGGGTGCTGCATTCTCGGGTTCTCTGGCTTGGGTAGATGGAACTCATGGCTCCCACATATATTGCCCCGCGAGAGGGGCAGCTTGTTTGCGCTCAGAAGTAAGCATGACCTCTTCCCGGCGCCCCCCAAAACACACACAAGTGAGGCCACCATGAACCTTCATGTCTGGGAAAATGCATGGCCCGACAAGCTGCTTAGAGCCAACAGCGAGATTGAGCCTCCGAGGAATGGGTGTGACGCTGCACCCACCGCAAATAGAGCAGTCAAGTCTTTGGCGAAAGTCCGTGCTCCGTGTCAGGTCTCTTAAGGTGCTGCAACCACTGAGTCCGCAATGCATCGCTGCATCAATGTTTGCAATTTTGGCAAACAGACTGGAGGGCATTTGGCCATGTCGGTTCTAGACAATTGCACATGCCGTAAAGGATGAATATTGACAGTACAAATGAAAGTCTTGCTACGATGGCCATACAGCAAAAAGCACTTGCTCGGCATGCACCCAGTCTACCGACCTAAAACTATGCACACTTGGTTGCATTGGCGAGAAGTGCCACATACACAAGTAAACAGTAAGCAGGGCTGTCTTTTGCGGATTTGTATATGCTATGCCTTCATCGTATTTATCTGGCTGCTCAAGCTGATCCCGCCATTCGTAAGACAACGCTAGGTCTTCAAGATCAAAGCGCTCTTGTCTGCTGAAGAGAGTAAGTGCCCCAAGCTGTCAAGAGAAGATGCACCGTAGACCCCAAGCGTAAGAGACCCCTGTGTCCTCAAGACTACAGGTGCCCGAAGCCTACAAGACAAGAGACAAGCGCACCAAGGCCTCCCAAGGTGACCTAAGCCCTGTCGCAGTGGCCTCGATGCATCAAGGCGCAAGTGCCCTCGACGCATCAGGGTGCAAGCACCTTAGACCCTGAAGTGCAAGAGAGCCCTAAGCCCTTTTGCCCCCAAAGTCAACGTGCACTAAACTCATAAGAGCAAAAGTGCCTGAGATGTTCTAGGGTCACCATGGCGGCCGCGGCTGTGCTCGCCGCGGGCGTGCCATGCGCTCTGGCACTGGCGCGAGCCGACCTATTGCGCGGCATGGAAAGGCCAAGAGTGGGCCAACGTTTTTCTATTGCTAGGCCGCCTTTTTCATGTCAAAGTCTTAGTGAATCATCTGCGAAAGTCTGCCAAATTGTGAAATGAGCCCACTTTTGGTAAAACCTGTCTAAAATGACTTGGCCCCCCTTTCACAAGCAGCAGGCGCGGGTTTTGGGAGGGGGGGTGCATATATATATATATATATATATATATAAATAATATGTGTGTGCGTGTGTGTGTATATGCTCATATACAGATGTATATATATATATATATGTAATGTCCCTGGGCCACGTACCCCCCCCCCCCAATGGTATGGTCCCCCCACTCCCCCGCATCATCTGCATCTTGGGGATGATGCTGGCAATGCTGGGGATGCTGTCCAGTACCATGTGAGCCCTGCAGCTTCGGTCCCAGACTCCCCCTTTCACCCCGTGAACCAACACCCCAGCACCTCTCGCAACATCCTACCCTAAACCAAACCACCCTGCAACCCCTCCTTAACCCCAACCCTAAGCCTAAATCAACCCAAACCCCAAACCCACCCGAAACCCACCGCAAACCAACCCTGAACCAACCCTAAACCAACCCACCAAGCCTAAACCAACTCCGAACCACACCCCAACCACCCAACCACCCCACCACCCCACCACCCCACCCAACCCCCACAGGGAGGGGGGGGAGGGGGGGGAGGTTCACGGCCTGGAACATATATGTATATATATGGCATATATATATATATATACATGTATAGATGTTCTCAAGTTCCGAGATTTGCTCACCAAACCTCGGGTTTGGAGCGCGGGATCTGGGGACGAACCGGCGCCCGGGAAATTCATTCGAGGGCCGCTATGCGGCGATGTCGGAGGTGCGCAGAGGCAGAAGATCCTTCTCCCCCAGTTTCCTAGGCTGGAGTTAGGACCCCAGCAAAAAATATCCTTTTGCCTGGTTAGTGAAGAACAAAGGGAACCCCAAAACAGCAAAAAAATAAAAGTGGAACTAATTCTGGGGAAGTTTCGACACCAATTCTGATCTCATTTCCAAGTTGGAAATAAGGAAACTCCTACTTGGATGTCCAACCCGCACATTGGTAAACATTTTACGCTCCCTAAGTGAGTTGCATCAAGCGAAGATGTGTAGGGACTTATCAACTAGGGATAAATACTAGCCAATTCGCAAGTGAGTTTGACAGAGTCGCAACAGCTCTGCAAGGGATCAGCTCGTTCTAATTTGAGTCATAAACAAAACCCGAACCCGGCATTAAAATGGTCTACCCAGAACCATGTAAAGAATCAAGAAGGCGGCCGCTGCTATTTATGGCTGGGATTGTCCCTCACTAACCTTCATCTACCCTGGTTTTGATTGTGGCTCATTTGAGTTTGCTAGCCATACTCTGATGCAATTGCCCAGGACTGCCAACAGGGGACCCACTTCGGTCCTCTTTCAAAATGGTAGGGCGAACCGCAAGAAAAATTCGGGGTGTCGTGTAAACAGGCGCCCATCGAATCGTCAATTGTCATGTTTATCCGAGGACGGGGTCTGCACACATCACTTGAATTCGGTATTTTCCCAAGAGGCATGGGACATTTCCTGTGTCTCTGTGGGACAATTCCAGCGTGTCCCTCCCAAATGAAATCAGAGAAAAGGGGCGGAACAATTAAAAGAATACGCATCTCCTTTTGGTTTCCTTGTTGGACAATTGTCAATTATGGCAGCTATATAAACGGCTTCAGGGCCAAAGGAGGTACATCTGGGCGTAGACGGTTGACTATTTTGCGGGCCCCAACCCTAAAACCCAATCCCAAAGAAGGAGGTTGCAAAATGAGTGCGGGAAGTCAAAAGGACACCCTCTTCTTTTTCTTGGGGGGGGAGCTCCCCGAGTTTGCCGAGCCAACATCCACCCAAAGTGTCCACCTTCCCGAAGGCACGTGTCCAACGAGAGAACTGCCTTTCAACTGGGCCAGCAAGGCCCAAAACGGTGCTCTTCTTTGTTTTTTAGAATCCCCCCCACGCACTCACTTACTGCTATTTTCTGTGAGAGATTTGGGGCCTGAACTTTCCAACAGCGGTGCATCAACAGCGAGATTCAAGGAACTTCTCTGAGCGCTCAAACCCGCGGCCATGGGACAAAAGATGGCGCTCTTGCCTTGATGTTAAAGGGAAACTGCCGAAACCCCTCAAAAACAATCACAAAGCGTACGACTGTTCCTTTTGCAGGACCGTGAAGGCGGCAAGAAAACAAAGGCTCCAGGGTAAAGGTGCCCAAAAACGACAAGCCCCCATTGAAGCGTGAGGTCGGATTCGGTCGGGACAAACGAAAACGATGAATCCCGCCAGGGTGGCTCGATTGGCTCAAGACAGACAGCCGCTCATCCAATTGCAGCTCTTTCCAACGGAGCTTTGGGAAGTGGGGGCCATTTTTTTTTCCAGGCCCGGATTATTTGAGCCCACAAAAACAAAGGTAAGATGGAGGTCATGAAGGTGAGGTGAGGTGCCCTGAATGTTGCTTGACATTGGGTCTCATGTTCCTTTTTCGCGATTCGGTTGGCGATTGAAATTGCACATAGCACGGCCACCTCGGCCTTGGAGCTTGGAAACTGGAAATCACTGCGCACCTCACTTGTCTACGTTGGCCCCCAGGCTCCCGAGAGCACAAGAGGGAGGGGGGCGGAAGATAGCTCTAAAGCATATGCGGAGCAGGGGGAGGCATGGAACAGGCTGAACCCTCATTGAACACACGCTGATTTAACAGCTGTTGGGCTCCCCGGTCAAACAGTGATGGCCAGGGTCTGAGCATTTCAACCAATTCTTGGACCATTGCTCAGTCGAGTTGATTGCAACAAGATTCTCTGGAACTGCTTGAATTCTGTCCAGGCCACTCGGCGAATGTTAACAAGTAAACCCCCTTCAAAATGCCTGTCGGACAGCTTTTGCATGTACATCATGTCCACCACTTTGGTTCAAGCACTTGAAAATCATACCCTGTGAGTCACTGACAGTACTTTTGGTAGTCTTCGGAGAGGACATGGGAGGCAGTGACAAGTTGTACTGATTTGGAAAGGATGTGGAGAACCCGCCCCAAGGGTTCATGAAAACTTATGCTGCCTGAGCAACTTGAATGGGGTTGTGGGGTGCTTTAAACATGCATATGATTCATATGATCATAAAAAAATGTGAAACACTTTCATCGCCCAGTGCATTCCCTCATTTGCCTCACCCCTATGGCGACCACAAGGTCTGCCGCTCGATTGCATCGGATCGCTCTAGTCACCCAGGACCGTGTCAAGATCCTGGCGACCAATTCCCTTTTTGCCGTCAGTGAACATGAGTCATACTCAAAACCCGGCACAAAAATGGTGCACCCAGAACCCTGTAAAGAACTAAGAAGAAGGATATCCGCAGCTATTTATGATTGGGACCGTCCCTTACGAACCTTCATCTACCCGGGTTTGGAGCACGTGGCTCACATGAGGTGTCCTACTGGGAAATACTTTTGAGGGTTTCACCATTTTGAGGGTAGGACTGGGTTCCATCTCACCCGGTGGAGAGTCTATCCGCGGGGTGTGTGGGAAATACACCGCTGGCAAGTCCACCTTGGGGTCAGAAAAAGAAGAAGAAGAAAAACGAAACCCGGCAAGATGCCCCACGCACCCTCTAGAGGTGGCCCTAGCCACTTCGAATGGACATGCTATAGACAAAAGGGGTAATAGCTGGAGCCATGCTCAAGAGCTCTGTCTGCTCCACTCAAAACTCTTCAGATGCCCTGATGGTGTTGTTTACAAATATGCGTTCCTGGTCGGCAGCTGAAAAGCTATTCGGGTTGTCTCCAAATGCAGGAAAAACCTCAAAAGCAACCCCCTCAGCGTGGTAAGCGTCAGGACAGTTGGCAATTGGAAGTGCTTCCTGCGAAAGGACACCCGAAAACCTTCAAACAAGACGCACCCGTGTTTTTGTGTATTTGCCAAAAGTACTTCTACGAAATTTCCATAAGTAGCCTTGCTTGCTGGTGTGATAGGGAAAGACCTTCTGAGCTTGAATGAGCCTGGGGATTCCCTTGAAGGAATGAAAGGTACTTGCTGATTCTCAGGGAATGCCCTAGGATTTTGGGAATGAACCCAAGGATTTCGATCATTCGATACGCACGAGCCACGAGCGCCTGGGCCCAGTTGACCAACGGTCGCAGCCAGCCTCTGAGGACCTCGATCCGGAGGCAACCAAACGCGGGGGAACTTGCTACAGTGGGACCTTGTGGCATTACTGCTACTCAGTGTTGGCTCTTGGTATTCTTGTAGGAAAGCCAAAGAAAGCTTTTGTCAGGCTTAAGTCAGTTTGAAACGTGGGGGGAACTGGGCATCGCCTTTTATCGGAAGGAACCACGGAACTTGCGTTCTTTCTTGATCACCTTTCGGGGGATGAACGGTTTGTTGATCGCCCTTTTAGGGCCTGGAGCATGTTTGTTTGGGGGGACCGCCTTTGAGTCTTTAACATCACACCTACCAAGGGAAACTCACCTTCAAGGGGCCTGGGCGTATTCGACCCCAAACAGGACGCCCCTTTGCCACCCCGCTTGCGGCAAATCAGCGTGGCGATACCAACATAGGTGTTTTGGCCGAAAGGCAAAATCCAAATCGTACCCCCAGTGAACATCCCAATCCCCACTAAAATAGGTTCTAAAATGGGTGGTGCACCTACCCCCAAATGGTACCATTGGTTTTGACCCACAGCCATTTGTTTCCTTGACTAACCTTGAAGGAGATTATCATGGCCACAGATAGTGTCAATCTAAAACCCATGTCTTTGTCCATCATGCTTCGAATCCCTTGAATGGACCCACGTCGGTCCCCGCCTTCAGCTGACTCTGAAGTTCATGGATCAATGGCTCCTCCAGCATCTGGATGGTCTTGACCTAGATGGCTCTCCGAATCCAACGGGAAGCGGACAACTCCCTGCGCTGCCAAGAACAACCTGGGCCCAACTCATACCTCTGACCAAGTCGATCCATTCTTCATAGCCCTTGGCATGAATTTAGAAGACATAGCTGGAGTCCTGAGCATAGGTCAACTAGGTCCTCCAGTAGAGAGGTTAGAATCAGGGTACGCTTTTTTCTGCAGTCTATTTTAGTAGGGGCACCCTCTCCCAAAAAAGGGGTCAAAGGGCACTACTGGGGGACCTAGTTAATATGCCCATGGCCAAAGACCTGTTGGAGGCGAAACTGACACAAAATTTGGGACCCCAGAAATGGTGACAACAATCGCCAAAGACTTGGCTCGAAGACGACAAAGCCATTGGATGGGGGATTAGCACTGAGCACGTTAGGGCAAGCGTTTGAAAGTCTGGCGATCGTTGCTGCTATCATTCTGGAGTCGCCGGTTCTGTTTCTTTGCGGGAACCAACCAGAACCAATCTCCGAGCCTTCTCTTTGCTTCAGTCTGGAGAGCAAAAACAGAAGCAATAGATTCCCTTTAAAACCAACAGGCGAAAGTAGAAACATACGCACCGCGCTTCATTAAGTTCTCCGCATCCTGCCAAGCCCTGTCCAGGGGACGATGGCAGCCCATTGAAACATATGGATGCCCGAAACATTGCAAGTCAACTAGCCATGAACCACCAAAAAATGGATACGGCAAATTAGAGGGTTTCCGAATGTTCCCTTACTTGCATTCTTGAGTTGGCATCCACCGTACTGCGGATGGACAACATCCACTTCGCTTGATGGCTTATCCCAGTCATGCGGGGTCGTCCATCCTAACTGGCACGAAGTGGATATTGACCATTCACAGCAGTTCCGTAGTATAAGCTCATCTAGACTTGCCAGCGTCAGGAGTCGGACCTTTCCTTGCGTGGCATCTGGGTCTACCTCGATAGGGTCGGTTTCAGAGGCCGCATCTCTCCTGAGGGGTCTCTTGGGCGGAAGGAGGAAACATGTTGACACCTTTGGTATGGACTCGATCGAACTCCCTGACTGTCTCAACTCACTTGGCCCCCATAGCCACAAGCTGTTCAACAGTCCAGGGACCAAGGCATTAGAACAATCACCAGGGTTTTGACACATTCTCGAATTCTCAATGACGATGCTTTTTGCGGATCAGGTTGCTGTTCACATCTCCACAAAAGCTAATGAACTCATCCGCCTCAAAGGCTGAAGCGCCAAGGATTCAACCACGAACCAATCGAATAAAGCTGCAAACACTGACAAGCCGCCATGGGTCACGTTTTCTACCCGAGATCCCCAGGGGCCCTAAAGCCTTTGGAAGGCTCCCGATGTTCAAAACGGCCAAAACGGACGGGTCCCAACGGGTTCCTGGCGCAAGCTTCGCCTTTCTTGGGCCCATGCGAGCCTTCAGCTGGAACCGGAAAAAAGCACGGCCCTTTCTGTGATATAGTAAGATTCCCGCCCATGACTCAAATGAAGGCGTGCAACGTGGACAATAAGGTCAAGTTGACCCCAAATAAATCATCCCCAGCTTGCTAATAGAGGTGTTCCCCGTCACCCACATTTCACCAGGGAAGAGCACCCCCCTATGAAACGAAACTGGGTTTCATCAATACGTGGTCAACATTACCCGCCTTGCAGGTTCGGTGCTGAGTAGGGAACAAGTTGGAATGATTTTTTTCTAAAAAAAAAAAAAGAAGAGGATCCAACATGGGTGAACCGTTTCCTTGGGCACCAAAGCAACCGGTTACTCCTTCCATTTCTCCTTCCCTACCTCTCGCGATCGCACGCGGACGGGGGTTCCTTCGAGCGGACTTCCGATGTCTTGGGGCCGAGGCCCGGAAGATGGGGATCTCTCCAGTCCTGAGTCGGAGTCCAGTCTACCTCTCAGGCTCTCAGGTGCTCCCTGCATTTTGCTTCAACCCCAGGAGGTCACCCAGCAGGTTCCTCTTAGGTCGCGGCCTTGCGGGGGGTGAATTTGTGAGAAGTGTAGTTTTTACATGTTCAAACCAGCTGTAGCCCTGGTAGGGGTGGTTGATTCAAGGGAAACCCACCATTCTACTGGGCTGTTTCGAGGGAAATCAGAAGGGAAGCCACCAAGGAGGTGGCTTCTCTCAAAAGAATCACCGGTTCTTAAGGGAAACCGGAGGGAAGCTGCGAAACTCAAGGACATCTCTGGTGTTTCGGAATGAACACTCGCGTGAACCGCAGACTTGGCGTCGCTGAACATGAAAACATATTGTGGGATTCTGAACAAAGGACGTGTTTGGCCATCATTTATGGGATAATCTTGGGGAGCTGTCTCTCAAAGTCTGTTCTTGCCCGGATTATGTCTCACGGACTATTCACAGAAGATTCCAACACTGATATCAATCTGGGCAAACTACTATAACTCCTAATCCAACGTAAGGAACCTTCAGGTAAGGAAGCTGTATCATATGTGAGCTCGGTCATTCCGACCGTTGGGGCGAACATGTCAAGCTGGAGCGCCTTTCTCCTCAACAACGATCAAGCGACCCTTAATGAGGTCCCAAGATACATCCTGTCACGTACTAGTGTGCACTTGGCGGAATAAGCCTGGGCAAAAACCGTGCCACTCCGCTTCGAGCCGTGCAAGCACCTGTTCTTGAAAAAGGCACGGACCCCAACTATACACGCTCCAGGCTCTACCAGCTACAGGCTACGGGCCCTTAGTGCAACCACTGCGCCTAGAAAGGAACACTCAGAGGAGAGAAGGGATGTCTCATTCTGGGCTGCGGATGAATTTTCAGAAAGCGTGCTTCGTCCCACAAATTGACTCAAGTCCAACAAGGGGAACTCGAGTGTCCGACAAAAGAAACCTGCCGGGGCAACTCGGGCTCGCGCACTGGGTCTGGAGGGTTCTGATGGTGAAGTGAAATCTCCTGAGCAGCGAGTCAACTCTGTGACCATCGGGTGGGGTTCCATGGAGGGGGGTAACGTGAACTTGAAACGGGATATCTGGAGGTCCTTCTGTCACAACAAAACCAGGCGATCTTGGGGTCAAGAGCGGCAACGTGTCACACAAGGTGGTTGCAAAATAGACAGCAAAGATTGGGCCAAACAAAATAACAAACACACACACACACACACTTCCAATCATGATCATGAGGTTTGGGTGCATAGTACCCCGCACCCCATTCTAGTTATCGAGCCCCTTATTGTTAAGTGCCCACCATTCTGGATGGGGAACCCAACTGACCTCGTGGCGTGGATCCGAAGCCTTCGAAACCTTAGGGAAGAAGGGGTCAGGGAGGCAAATGGAAGGGGTCACTCCCCCACATGTGTGTGGGTGTGTGTCTACCACTTCGGGGGTTGGTGTAAAGGAAACCGAAAGGACACCACCATTTGGAGAGTCCCCCACGTTGCATATTCCCGGTTTCGTGGGTCCTGAATAGGAATTTCCTCGCGTGAATTCGAGAATCAAAGCCTTCAGTTTCAGGGACCTGGTACTAATCGCACAGAAATTGTCCTATGCGACGGAACCCCTTCAAAGACTTCTGTCCAGGCTGCAAGAGTTGCCCTTTGCGCTTATCGAACCAAGTTCCCAGCACACACAATCCATCGACTCTAGGCCCCCACGAAACCAGCCAGAGCCCAATAAAACCAGGCAGTGGCTTATGGTCCCCTGACCTTCCAATTGATCCTCTAAGCGGACAATCCATAGGTTGACCATCCCTACAAGCCCCTCGTATGTCACTTCTAATTGGCCCGGCAATTGGCCCCATGAATCGATGAATCCATTCGCAAAACCACAACAAATGCTGAGGATGCGTAGTGATGATTATCATCAGGGTCCTCATGATCATCATCATCATCATCATCGTCATCATCGTCATCATCATCATCATCATCATCATCGTCATCATCATGCCGGCGATTTGCATCATCAGGATCATCATCATTATCGTGGCGCTCTTCTTTTTCATATATGTTTCAAGTGTGCCGTTAGACCCGACTGGAAATGCAGAGGATGCGTAGTCATGATGGTGATGCTGAGAATGGGTAGTGATGCATCATCATCATCATCATCATCATCATCATCATCATCATCATCAGGATCACCATCATTATCGTGGCGCTCTTCTTTTTCATATACGTTTCAAGTGTGCCGCTAGACCCGACTGGAAATGCAGAGGATGCGTAGTCATGATTGTCATGGTAACTGCTGGTGATGCCGGGGGCATAGTTCATCATCATCATCATCATCATCATCATCATCATCACCATCTGATTGCATCCTGAGGAGCTCATGGCTTACGTCTTGCGAAGACGAAGCGATGAAGCAATACAACGAAGTCTTGCGAACAAAAAAAAGTGCCCCCAACTACCCCAGGTTTTCCTGCCCGAGTTTCCCCACACCGAAACACTTCTTGTAAAATCCAACAAGTTGCTCCTTATCATGCGAATAAATCCTGCAGTACCTTGTTTGAGATGCAGGGAATGCGTCGTCATAATTGTCACAAAAGCTGCTGGTGATTCTAAAAATGCAAAGTAACAATTATCATCATAGCTGGGCGATAATGCGAATGTATAGTAATAAATAGCAGCATCCTAATGTTGGGTAATAATTTGCATCATCAAAAGCATCATCATTATCGTGGTGCTTTTCTCTTTCATATATGCTTTAAGTGTGCCATTAAACCCGACAACAAATACGTAGTCATAATTGTCACAACAACGTCCCCTGTCAGCAAGCCGGGGCCGGCGGCACAGGGCGGCAGCCCTTAAATTTTGAGCCACACCCATATAGGGACCTTTGTCCAAGTGAACCCCTCCGGGAACCCGCCGGATCCCGCAGGCCTGCAGCGCATTGCGCTCCGCGAGGCCGTCGCCCAAGCTCACGGCGTTCAGCCAAACTCGGAAAAGCTGCAGCGGGATATCGGCGGGACATACCTTTTGGGGGGGGGGGGGGTGCTGGGAGGGGGGGTGGGGCTGGGAGGGTGGCTGGGGGCCGTTTTGGTTGAGGTTTAATGGGAAACCGGAAGAAACCGTTTTGGGGACCCCCGAGCTTGCGCGACCTTTTTAGGGTTTGGGACGCCCGTTTCCATCATCTGGGTGTGTTTTTGTTGGATTGAACCTCCGTTTTGGTTGAGTTGAAAGCGAAACCACAAGGAAACGTGGCAGTTTCTAAATGCCCAATTTTGAGACACTTGGTGGCTACTGCCTTTTTGGAGCACAGCTCACTTTTGGCGGATTAGTGGAACACACAACCAATCACAACTACGCCTTGTCCCAAAAAGTTGAAGGTGAGGGTGCAAATCCAACCAAATAGTGTCCATGACTCGCGTGGGTTGCTTCCGAGACCCCGTCAAACAGGTAGAGACAGTTGCTCCCAAGGAAAGCAGACATCGTGGTTCGCTTTCAGCTTTGGGGCAACCCCCACGCACGCTCTGTCCACCATTTGGGTGTTTCGTCCCCTGGGAGAAACCCGCAAAATGTCCATAGTGATAGGTTCCCTGTAAGACTCACAAGGAAAAATACAAAAACGCTTTCAGCAATCGGAAACCTACAAGGGTTGCCCGCTTTTACCAAGCAAGGTGAAAAAGGCACACTCAGGAACCACACACTTAGACTCCAAGGCGAAGGGAGAGAGCCGGTCAAAGTCGAGCGAAGTAAGCTCGAGTGGCACATGTGCAGAGTCCATTTCGAGTGCTGTCGAGGGAGGTCAGAGTGAGAATCACATAAGCTTAAACAGGGGCGAAGCACACAGCCCTATGAAGAACCAAGCCGCAAGCCATATAATATTATCATCAGCTATGTGGTTTGAGCGTCCTCAAACCATATCACCGTGCAACAAACGCGTCTTCGTTGGCTGGAGACATCTGAAGCACACTCCGATCCCCTGCGAAAAGAGTTGGCTCCACGAACATAGACCTTCAGCCGCGAACATCATCTCCCCAAAAAGCACCAGTTGGACGAAATACTTTCTCAAAAATGACCGCACTTTTAAGCCCTACATTACATCTCACCAGCGGAAAGATGCGACCCGCTTTGCAGAAAAGTCGCCGTTCCCGTTCTTGAGGTTGAACCGGCGAAGCACCCGCTGCATCACCTGGACATGACTCCCAAGTCACCCCAAGAAAAGTCTGCAGGAGAAAAAACAAAAAAGCCTGTGTCTGAGAAGGAGTTGGGGTTGGGCCGATGTTTCCATTTGCGCAACAATTCTTGTACAGCCTTCCTGTTGGATCGCTTTTGGTACCATCTGGCTGTTACAGATTTGGCTCAACCCCCCCAATCTTCGAAACTCCAGGGAGATAATCGCAAGATTCTCTGAAGGATTCTGCTCATGATTCGCCACTCCCAAGTAACCAGGAGTCTTGACCATGGCTTGGTTGAGTTGCACTCAGAGGAACATCTGATGTAAATGCGCTGTGACATGACGTTCGCACGACAACCTCTTGAATGGGCTAATGTCGTGTGCCTCTGGGGTACCCCAAGGGCTCTACCCTAAGTCCGGCCGCACAACATGCTTTTGTGCTTGGAGCAATTTGGCGTGGCAAGAGTGCTTGCGTGCAATGTGCAGGTTCAACCCGGGGGTCAGAAATGATAAATGATAAATGGAGGTCCCACAGGCTGATCCCAAGTGTTATCTTCCCATTCTAGTCTATTGTGGTCCTGGAAGATGATTTGGGACCTTCTGTCAGGTTCCATGTTCATTGGTGGAGTAGCTTTTGCAACTTGTCCAAGCAGCGAGATGAGGAGATACGGAGAGCTTCTATCTCTCCTACTCTTATCTCCATTTTGTATTTCATGTCCTTGAAGTGAATGTCAAATGTCTTTCCGACCGTGAAGAAGCCCTTGACAACTAATAGTCCTGCAAATTATTGGGTAGGGAAGGAATGAACACAACACAAGTATTAAATATTAGAAACCTTTCAAACTCCTGTATGCGCCTAGAATTATTGACCATTGACTGCCGGGCCAAGGAAGAAATCACTTCTGTCTCTGATGGACACTCACTTTGCCTGATATGGGCACGACATAGTTTCAGCCGTTCATGGATCTCTCACGTGGCGTCCTTTGAATCCTTTCGCCTTGTGGAGGTCTCTGGCAACGGTTCCCGTCTTGAGGTCCGCACATCACTCCATCCCCTTCATGATTTGTTTGACCGCAGAACACTCCCCCCCCAAACAAAAGAAAGAGAAAAGAGCAAAAACAAAAAAACGGCCAGCCCGAAGGCTCCGAGCCTGCGAGACTGCCTTGCCCTCACGTCGCCCTCCCACAAAACGCCGCCTTACGCTTCTTGATGCACCGCTGCTGAAGCTCCAGGACCTGAGACTGGAGTCCAGGCGCGCACCATCACACACTGGTTCACAGCATTTGGGTGGCTCATCTTGGAAATCCCAAAGATGGTTCCAAACAAATGTGTGACTCTGAGCTGTCCTAGATATGGCATCTCATATGGGCGTGCGTGTGTGCGTGTGTGCGTGTGTGTGGGTGTTTTTGAAGGTACCCTCTTTGGGGCTGGCTTGAAGGGAAGCCAAAAGGAAAACCGCCATTTGTAGGGTCCCCCTATTCTGACACGCATATCCAGAAAAACAAAGCATCCTTGAGACTCAGAGTGACAAAAGACGCGAGGCGTGCCTGCCCTTCTGCCCTGCATCTTGTTTGTGAGCAACGGCACCCCTCCGAGGCATCTACCCGCAGCAACTGGCTGAAATTTCGCACATGGCACCAACAGAGATGCCTGAGGTGAGCAGCTTCCACTCTTCGAGGTTCCCCCGCAGTCGGGACACGGCGCATAGCACCCCGGAGAACCACAACAACACACGTACCTTGGTAAGTCTTCGGGGAAGAATGTGCCACGCCAGGGCACATATGGTACTGATTCCCCATTTCCAAGGTTTCAAGGTCGGAGATCAGAACCTGATTCGGATGTTCGGTTCCAAGAAACCGGGCATTCTCCATGAAGACTAAATTGGGGCCTTTGAGGTTCTGCCTTTTGGGCTCTTTCAAAACCAATCGGAAGTTTTATTTGGCTCCACTTGACCTCCAGATCCGCGGAGGCCGCCCCAAGAGACTGCTGGATTGTACAACTGTGGAATGAGACGTGCGACCGATGCTGAACTTCTCAAGCCCTCAAGCCTCTCATTTGAGAAACGGCCCCTGAAAAAGCCTCCGGCCATGAAAGAGTTGATCAATCCCCACTTTCAGCAAATTTCAGGGAGGGTCTTATCTTGGAAAAGGCGCCCAGCAAAGGTGTTGGTCTCAAACTAGAACAGGGGCTCCCAACAAAAAAATGCTGGTTTCCTTGTGGCTCCCCCCAAAGAGTTCCCCCCAAAAGAAGACGGGCTTCCCTTCGCTTTTCCCACCAAACTCCCAGCCCCGTTTTCGGAACACCGGCGCTCGAATTTCGGGAAACCCGAAGGGGGGGGGGGGGGGCGCCGTCAGCCGCTGGGCTTCCCCAGCAGTGCCCTCGAGCTGGGAGTGGCCGCTGGGCTTGGTGCACCAGTGGCCCTGCCTGGAAAGCGGGGCTCCACGAGCCCCCAAACCATTTGGAGTCTGTGTCTAATTGCTTTGGGCGCGCAATGGGTGTTTGATACAAGAGGCGAGCAACTTGCGCACATGATTTCCTAATTGATTTTAATTTGGTTTTCCAGTTCTACCCTCCCCCCCCCCATTTTACTTGTTTGGGCTCCATAAAGGTGATTGTTCGAGGCCTGGCAATTGCCCTTCTCCCGCGTGGATTCAAAGGGAAACAATAGGAAACTAGGATTGTTCCATGTTCCCCCTAGCAAAACATACCCGAATAGCAGAGCATGTTCAACTTTCCCGAAAGGAAGCCGAGAGGGGACGGATGCTTCTTGTTGTTGTTTTTTTTTTTTTTTTTTTTCCGAGATCCTCTATTGGTCCTGACCCCGGAAGCCCACCAACCGCCCAACTTCGCCCACTGCTGAAATAAAGGTGGATCAAACGGCCCATGATCATGACGGCAAGCTTGGAAAACCCACGAAATGATGAGATTCATTTCCCACATGGGACAAGTTACCCATGGTCCTGGCCGGCCGAAGGAAACATGGATCGATCCCTATATGTCGGACCTTAAAAAAAGCCAAACCATCTGGGGAATACGGGGAACCCATATTTGAGATGTTTAACGTGGACAATGATTTCATGCGAAATCAGAAGGATGGCCCTGAATTTCACTAGGGAACCCATTGAAAAGTGGTGGGCCAAAAGGGTCTGATGTGCTGATGCCCTTTCTAGGGTTGGTTTAAAGGGGAGCCAAAAGGAACCCATGTTGCCCCCAACCCAACTCACTTTGAGACATGCTTATATGGGGGGAATCTGAAAATGGACGTCTCCTAAAAAGGGTTCTTGTTGCTTTGGGTTTCTTTTGGATACCAGTACATGAATCCTTGCTGTTCCAAAAACGCACAGCCCAATGAGTGCGACAATTGTTCAATTTCTGCCGAGGTCGACATCGCCTAGCAAGCGCCATGCCTGGTGATGCTCGTGACATACTCTTCCGTGGCGTAGTGGACATCCACACCCATCTCCTGACCACCAGGTTTCCGCCTTAAAGTGGGGGCCCGATTTGTAGCCACATATCTCGTGAGGAAGAGGACGAGCATGTGTTCTCGTTTCGTCGGTGCGTCACAACGCTGTCTGATGTTTGCGTTTTATACAGGGAAGCAAACTTGTCAAGGAAGGTCCAACGATTTGAGCCTGAGCAAGAGTCGGAGTTCGGAGAACAATTCCAAAACCTCCAGTGCTGGTTCACATTTCACAGGGACTTCCCCTATCCCCCCCCCAAAAAAATACAGGAGTCCCCCAGCGGGAGCACAAGGGAAGGTCTGGGGCAAAGAAAAATCACCTGACCTTAGCCCAAAAACCGGATCGGATCTCTCAACCCCACACGCGGCGCGGCTCTCTCCTCCCACAACTGCGCAAGCTGCGGGAGGAAGGCCTTCATTGACCTGTTAAGCGGAGAATTCTTCGATTTGGATCATAGGATATGGGTGTGGCTCCAAATTGAACAGCCGGCGCAGGTGTTTGGTCTCTGTTTCCATGTACCGAGGCATTTGGGGTACCTTTTTTTTGAGCCACGGCCATATGGAGACCCACCCCAAAACACGGTTGTCAAGGTTGTCGGGGATTGTTCGGGCTTCCCAAGGTCAACCCAACGTGCACCTCAAACAAAACATAACCCCCATATGTGTTCCTGTATAAGTCGCTCCATTCCGACCGACCGGGTGAACATACCAGATTTTGTGAGTGTCTTCTGATGCAACCTGTGGTTTGTCTCACTTGCCCAAAGGACCCAGAGGCAAAAGGTCCACCTCTTGGGATGTTCATCAAAAGCGCACCGAAAAGGGAAAAACAAAACGTGCGAAATGTTCGGCTCTGAACCACTCAGGTGCTTGGGTTGGTGAATCACCAGCTCAGTTCCCCGAGACTCGCAGGATTTGGATCGGGTTGACGGCAGACAATGACACAAGCCGCGAATGGACATACCCTTCCTAAAAGAGCAGTGGACATAGCCTTCAACATGGCACCTGTGGGAGGGTACCTGGAAGATCTGTGAGGTGCCGTGTGGGAGAGAGTGTCCCTCCCTTTGTGACGCACTTGTGGAATCCTTCGGAGGCCCTTTCTATGCCCATCTGCACCATGCGAAGTCGGAAAACCAACTTGGAATAGCCGTGCGACTACCATGGTTGACCTTTGTATAACGGAAATGCAAGGACCCCTGCATCTGTTTGCCATTGTCCATAGGTGGCAATGCAAGTGATGAAAGCGACGTGCGGTTGACGTGGGTGAGGCAAGCGTGGCTGGCCATGCTGGTGATGTTGATGCAGTCTCAAAACGGGCAAGGCCCCGAAAGGATGGTGAGGCGGGAACATGTTTAGGCAAGCCATGGGTGTTGCTGACGCCAGTGATGTTGCCATGCAAATGATGACTTGGATGATGCACGGCTGTGCTCGGTGCTCTTTAATGATGGTGTCTGCCATCTCATGCTGATCAGCCAGTGGAATCGAATCTAGCCTGGGCGCACATCCGTGCAAAAAAGCACATGTTCAGATGTTCTTGTGCCTGAGTATTCATGGGTATGTCCTGATTGTTGGTACATTTTGTAAAACCACATGTTGAAGGTTTCGCCATTCACAGACAAAGCTACATGAACATGTGACCTGGTGCGACTCATGCAGGTCACGACTTGCATACATTCGTCTCGGGCTGACGGAAAGACGCAACCGTGTTTGTTCATTGCAAGTACCGAGCCTCAAGGAACTCCACCCTTGGAACCGAAGAAAACACCGCGAAGCTCTTCGGCCCGGGCTCTTCTACCCAGGACCTCTGTGCCAGGGTGATGCACACTGGCGTCCCCAAGCCTGGCACAAAGGAGCGCGAAAACGCAAAAAAAAAAAAAAAACAAACAAAAAACACAAATCCGCAACAGGTAGGTGAGCCACCAGAACCTGGTGGTGACCTTCCAACCATCGACGGGATCCTTACTTGGGGATTCCACCCAAAGGATTGCTTGGAAACGGCTTGTCGATCCCGCGACATGTGGACCGACACCTTCATATGTTGTTCCTGTTCTCTTCGCGGCCGCTACCTTTTTGGGAGGGGGGGTAAAGATGGTTAAAGGGAAACAACGAAAAAGCGTTGCAATCTAGCTGGGAATGTGTGGGGCGTTGTTTTCCTTAGATGATTATTGTTTCATGCTGCTGACTCTCTGAATACAGGTCTCAAAATGGGGGATCTCCTGAATGGAGGGGAACCAACAGAAGGGCCACCAGCAGCTACGCGGGGTCTCTTGCCTAGGGGGAATTTCACCTCCACATGCCTTGGTCATTTGCCTAAATGCCCAAGGCTAGTGGCTGAGTGGTTCAGTGGTTCAGTGGTGGAGTGGTGGGAGGCTTCGGTGGAGTGGTGAGAGGCTTCGGTGGAGTGGTTGAGTAGTACTTGTTTTTGGTGAGCGGGGTAGTTGTACCCAAAAGAACCTTGGATGTTGAGATGCGTGGGATGGGGACGACCTTGCGTCCATGTCAAGCCAGACCCCATGCATGTAAGTATGGAAAATCTTAAATGGACGGGCCAAGACTTACCAGCGTTGCCAGCCATGAGTGGAGAGGGATTGTCCAATTTGAACGGATTGCCTGTGTTCGTCCCAGCATCGTTGTCCCTTTACAAGGGTGGATGATACAAGAGTCCAAAGAAGCAACCCTTCAGCAAACCTCCTAACTTTCATGAGTTTCCTCCGGGTCAGGGTGGAATCGCCGGTCTAAACTTTGGGTTATGCAGCACCGGCTGGAAATGAGCTTTACGTGCAGCATTTCCAACTTCAAACTGGTCCTTCTATTGATTCTCCTCCATTCAGGAAATCCCATTTTGAGACCAATGTTCAGAAAGCCAGCAAAAAGAACTTCCCACAACTTCCCATCTAAATGGCAACAAAACAAAAACCAAACCCAAAATATTCCGCCCAAGTTCCAACCAAAAAGGTTCATCCCAAAAGAACCCCAACAGAAGAGTCCAACCTCCACACCCCTCCAAAAACATATCTCTGCCTCCCATGGTGCGGAGGAATTCCGTGGCCTCGGCGGCGATGGATTTTCCAATGAAAAAAACCCCTGACAAGTGGTGGACATAGATCCCCGCCGAAATGATGTCCAACAGTTCGGGTCCCCCAACTAAAGTTCACCGCCAGACAACTGCATGCAGGCAACAGGGACTTGGAGGAACTGAACCACTGCGAAAAATCGGCTTCTTCCTGTGATAAAGGGGGCCGTCCGCACTAGCTCCCTTCAAAGAGGATTCCCTTAGGAAAGGGCACATGCCCTTTTGGAGGATGCCTCCCCCTTTCCCGCTTTGACGTTGCTTGAGAGATTCGCATCTGGGAATGAGCCAAAGGACCCCGTGGGGTTGGCATGTGGAAGCCAAATAGCGGAAAGACCAGCGGTTCAGCGCAGAGGTCAGTGTCGGATCAAGGAGGATCATACAGGACCCCCACTCCCACCCAGCAAAAAAGATTTGTGGATTTCTCTGAGAGAAATCGTATCGTCCTTCGGACACAACAAAACCAGACCGGCAGGGCGGCGCGCCAGGTGCACCAACCCCAACCCTCCCAAACCAGGTGTACCACCAACTCTCCCCCCAAACCAGGTGTCCCACCAACTCTCCCCCCAAACCAGGTGTCTCTCCCCCCAAACCAGGTGCATCACCCCAAACCCTAAACACCAACCAACCCTCCCCAAACTTAAGCCAACCCTCCCCCGTATCCAAGGTGCCACGGCGTCCAACTCCTGGAGCTTCTCCAGGTCGGCCGCCGTCCCCGCCATCTGATCCAGCGGCCCCTGCCGGCGGATCGTGTGTGTGTCCAGCTTGCCCGCAAAACCTCCGTCGCTTTCTTCGTTGCATAGACAATTATAGATAATAACTGTAAATATCCTATTCTACATGAAAAAACAACCAATATATATATGTACCAGTCCCTGGGCCACATACCCCCCCCCCCCCCCCCCAATGGTATGGTCCCCCCACTCCCCCGCATCATCCGCATCTTGGGGATGATGCTGGCAATGCTGGGGATGCTGTCCAGTACTGTGTGAGCCCTGCAGCTTCGGTCCCAGACTCCCCCTTTCACCCCGTGAACCAACACCCCCGCACCTCTCGCAACATCCTACCCTAAACCAAACCACCCTGCAACCCCTCCTTAACCCTAACCCTAAGCCTAAATCAACCCAAACCCCAAACCCACCCGAAACCCACCGCAAAACCAACCCTGAACCAACCCTGAACCAACCCTAAACCAACCCACCAAGCCTAAACCAACTCCGACCAACCACCCAACCACCCCACCACCCCACCACCCCACCACCCCACCACCCACCCCACCCCCACAGAGGGGGGGGGGGGGTTGGGGGGGTAGGGGGGGGGGGTCCACGGCCTGGTACATATATATATATATGTATATATGTATGGGTTGTGCGCAGGCCCGTTTCTAGGCCCATGTTGTCATCATGGCATCTGGGCGGCGGGAGCAGCTGGGATGATCGCAGGCATACACACGCGCGCTGCCCGCAGGTGCCCTCACCATCTCACCTGGGCCTCAAGCTGCTTATGCACACATATACGCACACAGGCAGGCAGGACTCCAAAGGCACCGGAGGTTCTAAGGTCAACTGGAACTTACTGTTACGAATACCGCCTGACTCGACGTTTACAATCGTCCCACACTTTTGAGGCTCGGGTTTGAGCAGTCCCCCGCGAACAAGACTGCGGCAACGGCTGTCTTTGCCTGTGTCGGTGGCGTCCAAGACGGCTGAGCTGCAGCTTTTTTGTCTACCAGCGATTGCTCATCCCCAGAAGGTCAGCAGGATCCCAGATTAACGATCATGTCTTACGCACTAAGAGTGGTGAAAAGATCAAATCCTCACAAAGGCGTGCTGAACGCATCGACATTTCCCAGCAAAGCTAGTGGAGCTGCAACTGGTGACCAGTCGCCAACAAGTGGTTGTGGCGCCAATACATGCATATATATATATATATATGTTGTGCGCGTGTGTGTGTGTGTGTGTGTGTGCGCGTTTTTGGCCGCACGACAGGTTTGGGGCTGTTCCGTGTTAAGTGCCATGAGAGCCGAGTTCCACAGCTGCCACAATTTGGCCTGAGCCTCACGTTCACGCAGCCCGCAGAAGCACTCTAAGCAAATTTGACAAGCGCTTACGCTTCTGCTTACACACCGCTTGGCTGTTCGATTTCGTTACGCAAGAGGAAGCAGTGGGCGGGTGCTCAAAAAAGCAGTCGCTTGGCTGTGTGTCTGACGAAGGTTCAGGTGCTAGCACGCACGGCTCACGCAGAGAACGCGGGTGCTGAGGCTAGCTTGGACACGGCTAGGCTTGGACCAGTCAAGCGAAACCCTTTTGTTGCTACTGCGCTCTAATGCGCAAGATCAGAAAGATAAGGAGAGCTGGACCTTTTCTTTTGGCAACCTTGAAATTTCGGGGGAGAACGGGGCCCACACTTTCAGCTGCTATCGCTCCACGCAAGGGCTTGACTGGCCCCTCGCTGAATCGGCGTGCCCTGGATGAAGGGAACCTCCAATAGGAAGCGTGATTGCGGCAATAGCTAAGGCTGCAACTGACTAGGGGTCAACGCTGCCTTGCTTCATTTTGGTTCGACTGGGTTTCGCTGTCGCATCATCAGCCAACAGCATGCGTGAGGCCCCGCACGCGGTTAGATTGACCGTTCGGATTTTGTGCGGCTGCAATCTAGGGATTGTTCGAAGTAAAGTATCTGTTGTTGCGGTTTTCAAAGAGCACCTCGCAACACCCAGGACACTGAGCGGTTGCCCTGTATAACAAACAAAATGATTCAGGGATATGCGGTTTTATTTCCAAAATTCCCGGGATATGGGCGATTGCTTTGTTTCCCCGTCGGCTTCCCCCAGCCAAGCTGCAGGCAGTGGCTTGTAGTGGAACACCATCTCGCAACCCCAAAGACATCCCGGCGATTTCTGTGGTTTCACCTGCAACTTCCCCAACTAGATTGTATCGAAGACAAGTTTGACCTCAAAACACCGTGATCATCTTGCCACAAAAACTCCCACGCTGGAGGTTTGATAAGCGAATCGTCCCACTTCCGCGCATCGTCTTTCGCCATCGGCCGACGCCTTGTCAAAAATCCAGGTACGAAACCACATCTTGCTCGCCAGCCAGGTCGTTGGCAAGATGGTGTCCTCAGCCCAAGCTACCCGCTGAGTCCCGGAAACCCAGGGTGGGGTATGCGTTCGTGGAAGCTTCAGCTACCTCCAATCCTTGGAGCAACCTGAAGCGCTAGAAGCTACTTGAAATCCCCCTCTCAAAGCCACTTTGGACTTTGAGTCATATACTGTAAGCCACCTATAGGCTAACCGTACGCAGCCAATTGCAAGCAACCTACAAGCCACCAACAAACCAAGAACGAGCCAACATACAAAACACTTCACGATCAATGAGCACTCCCAACTGATACTCGACACGACACTCCAGGTGCTCTGAAAGCGTTTTTGGGCAATTGATTGATGTTGACCCCAGAGTAATCAATCCCACTCCATTGATAGAGGGTGTCCCTGGGTTTAGTCGAGAATCATCACTGAATCACTGTTCCCAAACTGGAAACAGGCAATTCGCAGGGACGTGGGCGAGGGCTTTTACCCAGATCGGTGAGCTTGTTATTTTGTGTCCCAGCTTTGATGGTGGGGTTCTCGTTTTGGTTGCTGAGGATTCAGCTTGGAGCGGTGGATGGCAAGTGGATGAGCCCTGGCTGCGCATGAGTCGTTCGCCCGCAGGATTTCTCAGTAGCCCTGGGGGTTTGCTGGGGTGATTAAAGCAGGACTAAGTCAGATACCTGCGGGTTTGCTAGGAGTTAGCTTGGAGAGTGCCGGACTTGTGAGGAGCAGGCGGGGGCAGGTAGGGCGTGGTCATTTGACGGGCCGTTGGCAAAATTGAACGACCCCCGTCGGATGGAGAACAAAATGCCAACAACACTCACAGGCAGGCGGGCAGGCAGGCGGGCAGGCAGGCGGGCAGGCAGGCGGGAAGGCGGGCCCGCAGGCAGCCAAACGCAAATCAACGCCACAAAACAACACAACAAAGCAAGGCAACAAGACAAACCAACATGGTTTGTTGAACAAGAACTATAATGTAGAACAAAACAACAAACAAATTCCAACCAGCGCGACAAAAACAACGCAGCCAGCCAGCCAGCCAGCCAGCCGGGCGGGCAGGCAGACTAAGCAAACAAGTAAGCAATGATGGAAGCAAGCAAACAAGCCAACAAGTAAACAGGCAAGCAAGCCAAGACGACCATTTGAAAAGAAAATAAGAAACGAAACAAATTGAGGCGCAAAAGAGTGGCACATCAAATACTCTCTGACCAACACAACACAGAGGACACAAATACACATAAACAAGTCAGAACAAATTCAGCAAACCAGAGCCAGGGCAAACATGCCACAATAAAAACTACGGGCCAAACATCGAGCATAAACACAACACCAAACCAAACAACACGGAGCACACCACAAATTCAATAAGCAAACAAAAATCAGACACACACACACACACACAAGACATGAAACACAAAGACCGAGCAGAACAATAATGAATATTACATATAGCAGGAGAAGCACAACAAAACCACACAATGCACAAACGAAAGCACAAAAACACTCAATAAGCCGGCCCAGTCACCCCCAAGTAGATAGAAGGTAAACGAGCTACCATCCCAGTTTTTGACATTGATACCCCCCTGAGAAACATCATGGGAACTGTGTAAAAAGGGTGCTTGATGGATGTGGACCCCTCTCACTTGAGCGCCCACAAAAGAAAAAAACCTTCTCTCATCAATGATGGCCTTCTGGGGCATACAAACTTGCGTGTGCCACACTATGATTCGGGGATGGTATGGGAGACAGATGGCTCTAATTCAAAAGCAAATGTACCCACAATAAACAAGTGGAGAAGTAGACTTAAATATTTGCGGTCCAATTCCTGGTGCTTTGATTTTGACCCATACCCAAATAGCATACAAGGCCCAGGTATTTGCGCTGCCGCACGGGCATCCGGGCATCGTAGTCCAGTACGAAGAGCACCTCTGTCAGTTTGATGGGAGAAATACGCGTATGTGAGTCAGAATAGGGGAGGACCCTTAAGATGGCGATTTTTCATTCTGTTCCCCCCGAACAGCACCAAAACTGGTACCCTCAAGAACGCAACAAAATGGAAGAGAAAATCGTGGACGCCAAAGATTCCCATCCGCCAGGGTTGGCAAGACCCAACCGGCGCAAGTAAAAAGTTGGACCACCCGGGCTACAGTACCAATTCTCGACCTCTGTCTGTGGCTCGATCCTTGCTTTTAAAACAGGCCAAAAACTGGTGTTATCCTTTTGGTTCTGACATGAATGTTGATCGTTCTCACTGCAGGCCTGACTTTATCCCTGACACAGTTTTTTTTTTTTTTTTTTTTTTTTTTTTTTTTTTTTTTTTTTTTTTTTTTTTTTTTTTTTTTTTTTTTTTTTTTTTTTTCGCTTGCTAAATGGAGGTACAGGTGATCCCCAAAACATCCCCTGAAATTTGGTTTCCAGAAAACACTGAGAATAGGTGTGTGTTTTCTCTCAGGTCCATGTCAATCTCTCCAGCCCGCCGAAAGAAAAGCAGAGCGGAAGCTTGTCCAAAAGCCCAGCCGCCTCGTTGTTTGTATTATGGAGAAGTTTCGGGAGATCGGAGGGGACTGGGAAACCGGGGTGCCCATTTTTCACGAGAGCCCGCACTCTTAAGGGTGTGGATGGGAACTGGGGATTGGGGGCAGTCTTCAAAAATGGGAACCCCAACTCAGAGAAAACCCCAAACTCCTAAAGGGCTAGAAGGCCTAAGGGAAAAGGCAAGCCACGTACCAATTCTGAAACGACTTGATGCACATCCATATGCTCTTGACATGCTTGACTCAGCACGCATGCCCGGTCTCAAGGGCTGGTTGCGAACAAGGGAGCGGACTCTCAATGTACGAAGCATTTCTTAAAGCCAAGTTCAAATTGAGTCATAGTTCGGGCAATAATATGTGTGAAATCATGTTACCCCTTATGCTGTCTGGATTTCACCCTTCGCTTCAGTTTTGATGGATGAAACCCTGCGATTTCTGGGATATAGTTGAGGATAAAGCGCCTACCGGTACGAAGTGGATGCCGTCCATCTGCAGTATACCCTACACGAAGCCATGCTGGACCGCCTACAGCGGCAGATTCCCATAGTTCCCCTTGCACCAAACACGGGCCGCTCAAATAATACATGCCGAAGCCAGCCAATAAATGCCAACCGTAAATACCACCTACCACACGGGTCTGGCAAAGTATGGAAACCACACAAGAAAGGTGGGCTCCTTTCGGTATCCCTTGCTTTGAAACAACTTTGAAGTTAAAGGGGTACCCCAAAAACACACATGCACATACACCCATACCGAAAAATACCGTAATACCAGTGGATACTCCAATACTAACCAGGCTTCTGAAGAGCCCCCTTACCTATTTGTATCCGATATTTTATCACCACCAATACCAGAAATACCAACCACTGGCCCCAATTCAAAGTCACTCAGAATGGCTCAAGGGAAACAACCAACCAGTTTCGGACTTTGACCCCCGGAATCATGTCTTGCCGCCAAAGGCTCCCCGTTGAACTGGCTGCTTTCGGGAAACCAAAAAGCACACCCGAGATCCACTTGGCGGAAAAGCTTTTCCGGAGCCCGGGCGTTCTCCGGGCGCTGCCAGGTGTGTCCATGCGGCTCCGTCCAGGCCTCAGGCTGGAACCCAGCTCTGAGGAAACACGGGTGTCTTCTCTACTGGCAGAAGTTTGTGGATCTGACAACGGCTTTGTGCGAACAGGCAACGGCGGTGTGAGCCAGACTCAGCGAGTCGGAGTGCAGGCAAAATACAAGGGGCTAAATAGCTAGCAGCAGTGACTCCCATTATGCAGAGAGAATCACCATGCAAGAGAACATTCTAGTTGTCACCGTTGGAACCCAACGGTATATCTTCGTGTTCAAGGGAAACCCAAGGGACGCCAACTTTTGCTTGGCTCCATGTGGCCCAAACGACTTCCACTGGACTCAAACACGTTCCGTTGCCCAAAGGAATCGGCCCCGGCAATTGCAGGGCTCCTGTTGGTTTCCCTCCAACGAAAAGGGGGCTCCCACCCATTTGGGCCTGGCAAAAAGAGCTTTAAAGAAAACACACACACACACACAGGCACAGACACAGACACACAGAGAGACACAGAGACACACAGACACACAGACACACAGACACACAGACACACAGACACACGGACAGACGGACACACGGACACACGGACACACAGACACACAGAGAGACACAGAGACACAGAGACACACAGACACACGGACACACAGACACACAGACACACACGGACAGACGGACACACGGACACACGGACACACAGACACACAGACACACGGACAGACGGACACACGGACACACGGACACACAGACACACGGCGACACACGGACAGACGGACACACGGACGCACGGACACACAGACACACAGAGACACACAGAGACACACAGACACACAGAGACACAGACACACAGACACACAGACACACGGACAGACGGACACACGGACACACGGACACACAGACACACAGAGACACACAGAGACACACAGAGACACACAGAGACACACAGACACACACAGACACACAGAGACACACAGAGACACACAGAGACACACACACACACACAAAGACACACACACACACTTACACAGACACAGACACAGACACAGACACAGACACAGACACAGACACAGACACAGACACAGACACAGACACAGACACAGACACAGACACAGACACAGACACAGACACAGACACAGACACAGACACAGACACAGACACAGACACAGACACAGACACAGACACAGACACAGACACAGACACAGACACAGACACAGACACAGACACACACACACACACACACACACACACACACACACACACACACACACACTATTTGGGCTTGCATGTGAACAAACAGCACACAAAACTACAAACAAAGGTTCCTCTAGACCTCACGACATCTCACGACACTGAGCCCCTACCTTACCAGGGAGTGGACCCCTCTACCATCCTCTAAAACTGGACACCCCCCAGCAAATTCAACCTGCGATTTATCGATCCTAGGTCAACAAGGGCCCAAGTCCTAAACCCCTGACCCTAGAGGAGGAGGTTGCAGAAACGGGGGGGCGCGGTACGGGGAAGAAAACCATTTTGGGCCCCGGCGATCGGCGTCGATGCCGAAGTTGGCTCCTGCAGCGCCTGAACAAAAACGAGTGCGTGGCAACTGAAGGCATGGGGTGAAACTCCGGCAGGGAAAAGCCTGCAAGCAAGCAAGCACGCGAGCGAGCAAACAAGCACGAAAGCAGGCAGACAAACAAACACTTCCTTTTGGCTTTTGTTGGACTCCTCCGCTGGTTCAAAAGGCAGCCGTGAGGGGGGGCCAACTGAACAAGTTCTCTTCGCATGTGGAAACTGTTGGCAAAGGCTGCTGGGTTTCTCCTTGAAGTCACAGTGGCGCCACAAGTTCTTGACTTCTTCGTCCACTGAAATGGTCCAAGCGGAGCAACGTATCAAGAAAACGGGAGGAGTATCAAACTAGAGGTGGGCTTTGGGGGCCCCTCCTTTAGCTTCCATACCCCCAAAAACCCAAAAAGAGGTGCCCTCAAAACACAACACCGGAGCTTGCCTCTCTCCCCTTGCTATGGGCTTGCTTTAAAGAAAACCTGGCTTTTGCACCCCCCCCCAAGAAACAATCAACAGAACCGACAAAACCAAGGACCTCACCAAGGTAGAACATCCCAGTCCTCTATTTGCTTCAGTCCCCAGAAATATTTGCAGTGGTGATAGATTCGGTTTAAACCAACAGGGGGCAATAAACAATATACTTAGCCAAATGGAAGCAGCTGCCCCAATCCAACCCCATCCGCCTCTTGGACCGACCGCTTCATGGCGGCCGCCAGCGCACAGGGGGCCGCAAAGTCGTCCAGGCAGCCTGCGGCAACCCGGTCTGCGGGCCAGGGGAAACCAAATGGAAAGCGAAAAGGGCAGTTTTCGGGGTGGATCTGAAAAGGATTCCATGCCTCAGGGTTACTCTCATGGTTCTGCAAGGCGAAACGCTGGACCCAATGGAGCACGAAGAGGGACATAATCAGGCAGAATCAAAACCTGGTGACTCAAAGAAGTCTACCCCAAATCCGTAAAGAATCACAACAGGGAAGCATTCCACTCCCGGTTCTCGACACAGTCTTTGACTGCGTGGCTCATCTGGACTCCGGCTTTCAAAGACGAATGACCCAGGAATGGCTTGGAAAGCGCCCATTCCAAGTCTGTGGTCAAAGAGCTTCCAATGCCTTCCACCCGGGGTGCATCGGGCGATAGGTATCAATACCGAGGGCCCTAATGGATTCCCCTCGAAAGCGCCCAACGTGCGAAACCTTGATGGGTTTGATAACGAGAAGCGCACTGGCCAGTCGCCATTGACTTCTGCAACTTTTCCCAAGGTGTTTGCCCGGGAGCAACCCTGTCTTCTGGATATGTCTGGGCTGTCCTCAGATCCCCCGCTAAAAGTTTAACTTTTACTGGGTTAAATGCAAATCCCCACTAAACACTAAAAGGCTTAAAAGCTAAGGGGATGGCTGGGAGCCAGCAAGGTGTGTCTTTGCTTCTCTTTCCATACCATTTACGAAATGTCTGACATGAGGGGAAGCTTCGGACCGAAGAGTGGGGAGAGCATCTGGGCTGGGACTTCGTCAGATAGGAGCTCCAAAGAAGACAACTCTGGAACTTGAAATTGGTCCTTTTCATCTGAACCTCCCATGATTTGAGCAACCTCCATTTTTCAGGGCTGCCCCGTGCCGGATGCTGCTCCGCTGCCTGGAAGTTGAAAATAGAGATGGATGAGCTGAGACTGGTCACAGTGAGGTTTGACTCTCTCTCAGCGACTTGAAAGAACAGCCAGAAGGGATGCGCGCTGCAATGACCGAATAGCTTGGCATCCAAAGAGAGTGCACAAGAAGGTGATGTTGAAGCTACATCTGCGAGAATTGGTGTGGTCTAAGATCTTCAACCAAACTGCGACACTGAGAGTTGAGTCGGGACGGGGATCAAGTCGGCAAGATGAGATGCCGAACCGAGTTCAACTGGAAGTAGGGCAAACAAAAACACTAGCCTGCAAGCTCCAAAGCCAATAAGAAAGCAGGGAAAACCAAAAGCAAACTTGCAGGGTTCTTGGTGCAACCTGGCATTGTGGTTGTCCATCGTTGAACCCTTAACATTGTGGTTTTCCATTTAAGTTCTTTTTGAAACCACCATCCAAGAGAGGTGCCTCCCAAAGAAGACACCCGGAAACCATCACCCCTGTTTGCCACATCACGCTCGTCGTGTTTTGATGCCCCAGGAGTAGTTGAAGTGGAACTTTACCAGCAAAGATACAGCGGCTCCTCTATCAGACTGTTGTTTCCTAGCAGTATCCCATTCTTGCCTCGTCACCCTGGGCTGGCGAAATGTGGCTTGCATTAGTGAAGAACACATGAGTAATCCTGCAAACATGTTACGCGCTTGCCCTTGTGTTTTGGATCATATCTTATTCGCTCAAAGCAAGCCTAAAAGAAACTCGTCGTTTTGTTCCAGTTTTCGGTGCACAAACGTCTGACTTGGGCAGAATCCAAAGTCAAAATGACTGGCCCGAAAAAATGATGATTTAGGGCTCATCCCATATCCTCCCTTTGGCAAATGGACCATTCCTGGCTTCTGCTGTGGCCTTCTGCTGCTACTGTCCCGCCAGCGATCTCCTGATATGCACCAGCGAAAACCGTGGCCAAAGCGCGCACCGTTCGGTGCGGTTTTCTGACACAGTCCATCCTGCCTGGGGATCCCTTTTGTATGCTAATTTGCCCGGGAGTATGCAAGGGATGCAAACATATGCAAACCCATGGAGGTTTGATGGGCCCTTGGGCCGCAGCTGGCTCATTTCCCAACGGAGCGGCCTGGCGAAACCGTGGACGGCCCTTCAGAATCGCGCTGCAGTCATCACTAAAGAACGGATTTCCCGCCGCCCCCAACTTTTATATCAACAGGACGAATAAGTATCTAACTCCAATGCACATATGCCACCTCAAGGTCTCGTTCAGCAAATGTGGCCAGTCATGTCTCGCTGAGAACGCCTGTGGCGCCACTTGAGCTCGTGTGCAAGGTGATTCCGGGTGTGGGCTGGTTGGGCTGTCTGGGGTCTATGCCAGCGTATCTACAAGTAGCTGCCCTTCGCACCAACCAACCGAAGATCTCTTGGAAGCGTATCAAATTGCGCTATTCATCAGTAGTGCAAAACTGCGAGAAACTTAATCACCAAGCGCTAAGCAAGTTTGCGGCCCTTCAGAAAAGCGTCTCTTGTCTCTCTTTGGGGGTTGCCTTTTTGCCAAGTTGTCTTGCAGGGAACCGGAATGGAAACAATCGGTTTCCGGGTCTTGCCCATTTGAGTGTGATCTCAAAAATGTCGATTCTTGGGCTGTAGATAGGGCCACCCAGCCAGGGGATTGTTGCTTTGCCAATTTTGCGGCTTCCGCTGGTCGTGTTCTCAGCCTCCAACAGCACGTCCCCCCCCCAACTGCCCCGCACGAGCCATACGTCCCGTCCTCCTGTTTGCAGACCTGCCGCAAGCTCCCGGCGAAACGGAAAACCGAGCCGGCCGTCGATCGTCGATCGGGTGCGCCAAGGTGAAAGCTACATAAGCTACGTGCGGCAACAGGCTCAAGGTGATCTACCTCAGCACTTGCCGCCCTGAAAATATTGGATTCTGGGAAATATGTGGACCTTAAAATGTAATGTCTTTTCAAGATCAGCAGTTGGGATGGATGAATTCCAAAGGCAATGCTGAGAACATCCACAACGGTTCACCAAGCTCCAGAAAGGAATCCAAACAAACACGGCACCTCGATGGAGAATATGAAAATGGGTCGCAATTGAATTTGCCCAGACTGGGTCCCTTTCTCAAAAGTATCTTGGGTTCCGGCGGTTTCCCTTTTGAGCCATCTTTGAACCACTCTTTGAGCCACCCTCTGAACCACCACTCTCTCTCTCTCTCTATCTTTTATCTTGCAGGTAAAAAGTGTCCTGACCCCGCCCCAGAGATTGCTGCCTAGTGTCCGACACATTCCTCCCGCCACAGTTCGTGCAAGCAATCCGAGACCTCCGTTGCTGTGAGAAAAAGCTGGGCTGCCTCATTCATCGCAAAGGTTGATTTTTGAAAGGGACCGAGGGGAATCAGAGGCCCATCCAAAGGAGAGTGTGGATCAGAGGCCCCAAAGAAGGCCCTCTGCGTGCGGTTCCATTTTGAGGCTACCCGTTCCACCTTTGTGAGGCTCGTCTGGACTCTGGCCCGGAGAAACCCGAAATGTTCAAGCGCACCCTCGCACCGCTGAGGTGAGGAGGTAGCTCACCTAAGATGGAACTGCACCTTCTGCCCCGGTTTTGTTCAAAGGAAAGTGGTCGTCGAGACCTTCCAGAATGGCCACGCGTGCAGCCAAGCGCGTTGTCTACCCCGCATCCTTTCCCGTGGGCGCGCCTTCGCACACGGACAATCAAATGTTCTCCATGCACGGTCGGTTTCCCCAAGCAATGACTTTGATCTTGTTTCATTGGCCCGCGCTTGAACGAGCCCCTTGGATTTTCAGCCAGCCCCAAAAGACACAGGATCAAAGCGACGTCCGTGACAAGTAGATGGATTCCAGAGGGAAACCACTACAACTCCACTGAACCCAGCGCTTATGTTCAACACAACTGCCCTAACCCCAACCGACCTCGTGGATTATTCGGGGACCCGGGTCCCCTCCAAATTTGGCCAACCCCCCCTCCCCCTTCCACTAAATCAACCAAATGACTTGCCCGACCCAAATCAATCAACCAAATGACTTGCCCAACCCAAATCAATCAACCAAATGACTTGCCCGACCCAAATCAATCAACCGAATGACTTGCCCAACCCAAATCAATCAACCAAATGACTTGCCCAACC